ATACTCAGATGGGTATGTATTTTGGTATTTTTTATGCTTTCTGATTGCCTCCAGGTAGATGTGATCAGGAAATGGGCTTCCCTTTTCACTATTCTTTTTGAGAAATTTCAAGATGCCACTGTTGGTTGTTTTGATGTAATTTAGGATTTAATTTTTGGCCTATTTCCTTTTTTGTCTGCTTGTCCCGCTCCACAATCCCTGTTAAGGCCTTTTTTTCTAGTTGTAAACAGTTCAGGGCCAGCTGTGGCCGTTTGGTTTTAATTGGAAACTGTCTCTTTAAATTTCAAGGAGATCTGTGCGCATGCGTAGTAGAACCCTCCGAGGTTGGGGCTGGGGTGCCCACTAGCTCAGGCACCCCTATAGTCACCCGAATGTAGGTGCACAGACAGCAAGGGATCAATGAACAGCTACCAAAAGAGAAGAATGTCCACACCTTTATCTCTACGGTTCTGTCAGGCATCTCTGGCCGCTCCGATCCTTCCCCCGCTTGGTCTCACCCAAGATGGCGGCTCTGAGCAACTGAGCATCTTGAATTAGAAAACAATGGATTTCTTGCTTCTGCCACAAATTCCCTCAGCTGTAAGTCTTCCAATCTTCTAAATTTTCCTTTGTATGTGGTTCAGAGTTCTGGGACCATACCCTGAGCCTGCTTGGTTCGGGTATTCTGTGTTGTTGCTGGGTGGAGCTCCTTTACTGCACTTCCACCCGATCCGCCATCTTGTTTGTTCTCAGTATATGGCAGTTTATAGTTAAAGAAAGTGACTAAAAATAAACTGTTACATTTAGAGTAAATGATTTGTTTCTTTGTTTTTAGATAGAACAACTCTGATAGGTATGTGTGTGCTGATAATTTAATAACTTCAAGACATGTGCCCATTTCACAGAAGAGGCTTAGAGAGGTTAAGTGACTTGTCCAATGAACACAGCTAGTAAATGGTCCAGCGGGAATGTGACCCTAGGTAGAGTCCCTGTTCACAATCCCAATTGACTGTGATGTCACACTTGCCCTTTGCTGAATCCTTCTCCCTGAGGCTAGCCCCTATGAGAACCAGGCAGTGTGAGGTGAAGGGTAGGGCCAAGGTTTGTAATCAGGAGGCCTGGACTTCAGTCCTTGCTACAACTTACTTACTAGCTAAATTTTCTTTGTCAAGTATCTTTCCCCTCTCAACTCAGTTTCCTTATCGGTAAGGGGAATTGTAAGGGGCTGTAGGGCTGGATAAGAAAACATTATGTAGTTGCTCAGTCAATGGTTGTGATTTGGTCCCTAAACATCTGCTGTGGGAGTAACGGATCGTTCACATTGTTGGGCTACAGAATTCAGCTGAAAGAGGTTTCTGAGTCTGAGCATATTTTGTGGATTGGGGAGAGTCAATAGAGGATGTGGGTAAGAGGTAGAGAGGCCAGACCTGAAGCTAAGACTGTGGAACGTCTGAGAGGAGCCCCTCTTTTTGCTCACCAGGCCTGCTGCAGGTCAATGCTGGGCTGGTGGGATACAGGCCAGCAACCCGGGTGGTGGGAGAAGTGGCCATCACTGGGAGTCCAAGACAGCTCACTCTAAATGCTGGAAGGACCACTGTGTGTGGGGTGGGGAGTTCCTGGATGGATGGATCTTCCCCTAGGAGGGGTCATCTCCTCCCTCTTGCTTCTGGGTCTTTGTACTTTGAATTCTTTCTGCCTGGTACTCCCTTGGAATCGCTTACCCACCTCTTCTTTCAGAACTTGAGTCTCAGTTTAGATAGCTCTTCCTCCAGGAAGTCTTCCTTAACTCTCTCCATCCTCAGTTGAGTATCCTTCAAATTGCCCTACTGTGACCCGCATTATATTATCTATTGTAGTTCCCAATGCCTGATGCATTCATTACTTAACACGCATTTGGAAGAAAGGAAGAAAGAAATGGATGAGGAGTTGAGCAGTGGGAAAGGGCATTACTAGTCAAGTGGTTCAGAAGAGCTGTTTGGGGGAATGAGGTGAATGATCAGGGAGTGACCTGGAGTGGTGGTCATGGGGAGGAAGAGGGCATCCTGGGAACCATCACAAGGAAAGAAGGCCCCACAGGTATGACTGGATATTGAGGTAAAGTTGAGAGAGACAGGAGAATTAAGGACTTCTCAGAATTAAGAACTCAGAGACTGCATGGGGAGGTTCCCCTCATTGAGGTAGGGGCGGACTTGAGGGGAGAATGCTGAGCTTACTTAGGAAGGGCTGCGTCTGAGGTGTTCATGTCTAGAGATGTCCGGGACAGTGGATAGCTGGATTCTGGGGCTACAGTTCAGGGGACTGACTGCCTGAGCAAAGGACATAGATGTGGCAATTGTGAGCTCTGCTGAAAACTCTGGGGGTAGGTACACTTTCCTGGAGTCACCCTATTCCAGCCTATACAGACAACGGCCTTTCTGGTTCTTTCCTTCTTCCATTGCCAGCACCCCCCCACTCCCCACCCCTGTTGCATGGGATCTTCTTCTTCAGGCTTCTCCTTCTCTCCTTCGCAGGTCCCACGGACCTGATGCCAAGCTACTGGCTGGTAGGGAGGATGTGGCGCCAGGCCCCTTGGGTCTGGCGCAGTTGCTGGCCGTGGCTAGCCAGGTCGCTGCGGGGATGGTGTATCTGGCAAGCCTGCACTTCGTGCATCGGGACCTGGCTACACGCAACTGTCTGGTGGGTCAGGGGCTAGTTGTCAAGATTGGCGATTTCGGCATGAGCAGGGATATCTACAGCACCGACTATTACCGTGTAAGGGTCTTTTGTCCTCACCCTTCCCCCAGCGTCCAAACTGTAGATACCCTGGACTTGGATTCTCCCCCTAGCCGGGCACGCTCTCCTCTTTTTGAGGCAGTGTGCGGGCCTGAGACATTCTGGCTATGGTTTTAACCCCCTCTCCCCACCCACACCCAACGCCATCTCCCGCAGTCCGGGACGGAAACGGCATCATCGGTTTTTCTCTCTTAATCCTGGTCGCGAAACCCCTAACCATTTATTTTTAATGATGGGCGGGGGCGGGGTTTGCGCCGGGAGGAGTTGTCTCCGGCCGGCGCCCCCTCCAGGTGACGCAGCGCCGCCTGTCTGCAGGTGGGAGGCCGAACCATGCTGCCTATTCGTTGGATGCCACCCGAGAGCATCCTCTACCGCAAGTTCACCACCGAGAGCGACGTGTGGAGCTTCGGCGTGGTGCTCTGGGAGATCTTCACCTATGGCAAGCAGCCCTGGTACCAGCTCTCCAACACCGAGGTCAGCCCCGCCCCACGGTTTCCGGGACAGCCATACCCCCACCCCGCTAGTCCTTTCCCCAAAAAGTTCTGGTCCTCTTAGATCCTTCAGCTTCTCATCTTGCTGCCTCGAGGGGGCACCCACGCCAGATTTCTGCCCCTCTAAGCGGAGTCCTGGTGTGGCGCTGTGGGTTAATGCGCCAGACTGAAAAGCCATTTTTAACTGCAAGGTCGTCAACAACTGCTCTTCGCTATGGGTCGGAACCGACTCGACAGCAGTTAACAAGAAGTGCTCTCTCCACTCGAGAGTTTTCTCTTTCTCCTATTCCTAAGCCCAAGCACCACCAGCTTCTGGGGACGCCTGAAGGCATTTTATAGGAGCGCCCAGACCCCGTTCCACAACTGATTTATAGATAGACCCGGTAGGCATTGTCCGGAAGGTAGAGGCTTGGAAAGAAAAGTGTAGCACCAAAAGGGACAGACGCTGCATCGGAGACTGGAAGTTAGACTTTCAGCGGGACAGCCCTGCCCCACCCCTTGCCTTCCCAGCCTAGCCAGAGCTGTCCCCAGGTGTTCTGTCTCCCACAACAGCTCCCCGCACCCGTTCCTTGGCTCACAGCTGTCAGTTTCCATTTCTCCTCCTAATGCAGTCTGCTCCCTTGAGGCTGTGGGGTGGGGGCGAGGGTTATAGATTTTAATTTTCTCAAGCATTGAGAGAAGGAATGAAATTAACGCTGCCCATAACCCAAGTCCCCTCTCTAATGGGGAAGAAATGGGGGAAAGACTCTAGACTTCTTCTCCAACTATTTTCTGGTCTCTCCTTTGGATCCCTTAGCTGTCCTAACAGTCCCTCCTAGAGTTTAACTTTGATCCTTGCTTTCTTTTTTTGATTTTTGATTTCTTTCTGGAGACACTAGGTTCCCAGAGTGGTACCACAGAAGATAGAAGGAAATGAGGGTTGCCCTCTACCTTAAAATGTCAGCCAACCATTTTTCAAGGCCTTTGTGCTCTATTTCCTTTCCCCCTCTGGATGAGAGGCAGAGGACCCTTCCCTTTCTCCATTCAGTCACCATCTGATTGCAGCCCCTCCAGAAGCAGCGTATCTTCTCAGCGTCTATCCTTAATACTTTCCAGTGTTCTTTGTCAGAGTAGAAAGGAATTATGGGAGTCAATGTGTCCATTAGCAGCCAAGAGGCCCAGAGACATTGTGTGACCTGCTTTAGGAACCTCATTTAGGTAGGGGTAGCTTTAGGGCTGGCCTTACTCTCCTGCTCCCAGCCCAGTGAGCTTTCTTCTCTGTCTCTCCCATGGTTCATATCCCCAGGCGATTGAATGCATCACGCAGGGCCATGAGCTGGAGCGGCCACGTGCCTGCCCACCGGAGGTCTACGCTATTATGCGGGGCTGCTGGCAGCGGGAGCCCCAGCAACGTCACAGCATCAAGGATGTGCATGCCCGGCTGCAAGCCCTGGCCCAGGCACCTCCTGTCTACCTGGATGTCCTGGGCTAGGGGTCTGTCCAGAATCTGGGGGTGGGGAGCTAGAATGATGGGACCTGCCCTCAGCAACTCCCATAGCTCCCAGCATCCCCAGTATGATTGCAAAGCATCTAACACACCCTCAGCATGCTGGAGGGGTCTGGTGGGGCCTGGGAATGGAGGATGTTCCTGCTTCTCTAAGGCAGGTTTCCATCATAGCAATTATATTTATTATCCCTTGGCTGTGTCTCTTGCCAATTCTTGAGGTGACATCGTTCAAGGAGGGGGGCTTGGGACGCAGGTAAGGGGGCAATGACTCTCTGGGATCCTCCCTGTCTCAGGTTGCCCTCAGCCGCATGCCTCAGCTCCATGCAGCTGTCACTTCTACTTCCCACTCCTCTGGGTGCCTTGTTCACCTAGAGGTGAGGGGACAGGGCAACCCCAGGTGGTGCTTCCCAACCCTTCATACCCTCATTGCCTCACTCTGTACTTCCTGTTGAGGAACATTGGTGCTGCAGTGTGAGTGATGGAAGTTAGCTGTCCTGGTTTCCGGGGGAAGGAAGCATTGATGGGCTGAATCGTACTTGTCTTGGTGTGCCCAGAACAGAGCACCATGCAGTAGAACAAACGGATATATTTGTGTGTGTGTGGCAGGGAGGGACAAGGAGCAGGACTGCGGATTGCTGAAGGACGCAGGGCCCCTTATTCCTCACCCTTGGCTCTAACTGCTTTGACATCAGCACCTGGAGACCAGACACTGGCAAGGTGGTTACTTCCTAAGGGTACGGGCATCTCCCCATTCCATCCTGCCCGAGGGAGGAGATGGGGCCTTCCTTGCCCTCTATCTCTTGGAAGACCACTGGCCTTACTAAATGGACAGCTTCAGTTAGCATCAAGGGGGACCTGGGTCCTGCCCCCATCTTTATCAAACCAAAGGCTTGAGCTCCTCCAGGGAGCTAGGAGAAGCAGCTTCCCCTCTTCCCACCACCCTTTTCCCTCACCCCTCTATTCTGTACCAGCCACCCCCCCCCCCCGACACACACACACACCAGTCCCATCACTTCCAATCACCTGCCCAGTTCCTGCAATAACCCATGACTCCCCAGGGCTAATCTTCTGGCTGTCTCATGTCCCTGGGTGCCCAGCCCTCCCCACCCAGTGATTCAATCTGAGTCTTATCACCTAGGCCTAGCCTGGTGGCGTCTGCCTCTTGTCCAGGCTGGTTAGTGCTAATGGAGATCTGACCCATGGCTGCAGGCTGATTGATTGGTGGGGGGTGTCCTGGTCCCTGAGGGCTAGGCTCTTGGGCCCTCCTCTCCTACCCCAGAGTGGTTGAGGCTGTACCACCTCTGTGAGGCACTTAAAGTGGGCACAAAGAGTGAATGGGAGGAGAGAAGATGGGAACATGGGGTGGGAGAATCAGACATAACAGGTGAGCCCAGAGACAGATGCTCAGAGAGAGACAAGAGAGACAGAGATGGGGACAGACAGGCATGGAGATGTGCGGAGACTGTAGAGGGAGATACAGAGACTGAGGAGAAAGACATACAGACAAACATAAATCTATGTTTGGAGAACCAGAGGGCAGAAGAGCGCTGGAGCCAGATGCAGGTGGGACAAACAATGGGATCAGAGAATGCCCTAGAGACCATTGTGGACCCCTGTTTCTATGTCATCCATAGCCCCTCCCCCTGAGCCTCTCTACTAGGCTCTGAGGGGTGGAGCACTTAAGTCAGACGCCCAACACTGGCAGGATTTAAGGTCTTCACTGAGCAGAATGAAGCCCTGGTGGTACAATGTTAAGTGCCCAGACTGCTAATCGAAAGGCTGGCGATTCGAACTCACCAGCTGAGCCTCAGGAGAAGGATGTGGCAGTCTGCTTCTAGAAAGATTGCAACAACTAGAAGGCAATGGGTTTGGGTTTGGGTATCAAGGAAGAGAGATGGAGACCAGGCTGTAGAGAGGACCTGCAGAGCTTTAGGACATCAGCAGTTCTTAAAGCCCTAGCTGGAGACAGTGCTGGAAAAGATGGGCAGAGCAGCCCTGGAGGTGAGGTTTGGGCAGAGAAGGGAAAATTCCAGGAGAGCGTAGGAGGGGGAACTGGATCCCTTTCATTGATTTGGGAACAGGAGCTGAAGCTGATCACTCTGGCTCTTTCAGGCAACTGGGTCTGGGGCAGTGTCTGGGTATGGGGAGAAGGCTTACACCCACATTATCAGTTTCATGGTCTGAAAGTCTCTCCCACTGCCTTCCTTTCACTGATAGACCTGCAGATGTACACACGGATAGGGAGCCCTGTTCTACCCCATGGCACACACACATAGTCCCCTAATCACTCATAGTGGTTGGATTCCATTGTCATTAACTGTGCCCCCTCCACCCTGCTGCTGCCCCTACCCCCTTCCTGTTAATTACCTCCCGGCTGTGCCAAGTCCATTAGCGACCCCTCCCCACGAGGGGCTGTGCACCAGCTGAGATGGATGCTTGCAGGGAGATCGATGGAATGGGGCCCTGAGGACCCTATGGGGGACCAGGACCAGGACCAGGACTGCAACCTCAGGCTGTGGGGATGAGGCATCTGGGTTCACTTCCTCCATCTTTTCCTCTCAAAGACGGCTGTTTCAGTTAGAAGACAGAAGTCCAGAAAGGGTGGTGAGCATCTCAGAGACACACAGCATCAAAGAAATAATTTAGAACTCTCCTTTCCCATGAGGCCTCTGCCAGCTATTTGTGCCTCTGGGGAGAAGGAGTCAGTGCTGCAGTAGTTGGTGGGCTCCTCATGGGCTTCCTACACTGGGATGGGGTCTCCAAAGAACCCAGGGGTCAGAGCCTTCCCTGCCCTCCTCAGACTACCTAGCCAGTTTCTGCTTTTTTCCTGCCTTGCTCCCTCAGGGACTGGATTCCCCACAGGAGAGCAGAGCATCTGTTCAGGTTTCCAGGAATGAGGCAGGCAGAACACTGAGCACTGAAGTTGTAGGGGTGAGGGATGTTCTGTCCTGTGCCCATTTGGTCCTCCAGGCTGAAGTTAGATCCAAGGGAGAATTCCAGATTCCATAGGTCCTGGGATTTCTAAGCACCAGCTGAAGCTTGTCTTGCCAAATTCATGAAGTGACCTTGGACAGGTGGTGATGGGAACAATCCCTGTCAGAGCCAGGACCCAGGAATTCTGACTTCCAGCCTCCTGCAGGCTGTCAGGTGGTCCAGTCCCCTTCCGGACTATCTCTGTCTTCCCCTACTCCCCCGCCCGCCCCCATCTGACAATCTCCAGTGCTAAGATGGAAACTTTGAGCAGCTTTGACTAGGGGGTGGTGGGGAGGAGAGAAATCTGGAGCCACGAGAGACAAAGACAATACAGGGCCGAGGACATAGGGCTGGAGCTGCAGTAGGGGCCCACATGGAGGCAAGGAAGGATATGCAGGCAAAGAGAGGGGCAAGGGGCAGCCTGCAGCAGTGCAGAGACTCAGGATGTGCATGTGTAGAGCACAGGGAAGAAGGAAGAGACTCCAGATGTAGGGCAGAGTCCCAGTGGGCCATGTGCCTTCCATTCATGAACCAAGCCCTGACCCTAATTCAGCCCTTGGAGCCAGAGTCTTCCAGTCCACCACGCTGCTAAGCTGCTTCTCCATCTTCTCCCAGGGCTGGGTGCCTACACTCTGGAGTCAGATTGCCTGGTTCTGCTGCTTTGCAGCTGTGTGACCTTGGGCAAAGTACTCAACTTCTCTGTGCCTTAGCGTTCTGTGGAAAATAAGAAAAATAATAGCACTGACCTGGTAGGGTTGTTGTGAGGTTTCAACAAGTCCCATGTGCAACGCTTTTCTTAGAGGACCCGACCTGTGGAAGATGCTGTGTAAGGTTTGCTGTTTTTATTACTCTCTTTCCCACTTTTCCTCCTTTCTGTTTCTCCTCCTGCTCTCTATCCTGCCACCAGGCCTTGGGTATTCCTAGTCCAGACCCTGGTCCTAGTGTTTGGGGGTGAGGCAGGACAGGCTGACAGATTGTATATTTTGGAGGGGATAATGTTCACAGAAGAGATGTTCTTGTTTCCTGATCTCAACCACCTTTCCAGTTGTAGCTGCTTCAGACAGAGGAGTCCTTGCCTCTGTGGAAGGGTATAGAGAAGGCTTTGGTCTCTGAACTGCTCCCAACAGGTCCTGGTAGGGGAAGAGGCTCTGGGGACACAAGGAGGACAGGCAGACGACCCTCACCCCAATCAACTGCACCCCTCTCATTTCTTGGTTTTTCCCAAGTGGGGACTCCCCTCCCAATTGCTCAGGGATTAGACAGGGCACCTCTATTGAGAGCTTCTGAGATCCCAAATCCTCACAAAGTCGGGTCTCCAAGGAGTGGGAGACACATGCCACGGCTCTATATTCCTTAGCCCTTAGACCTCCATTCCTGAGAGCCAGGAAGTCCTTCCTACAGTCTACCCTCATGCTTTCCACCTGGATCTGAAGGGGTTACTTAGCTCCAGGCCCGCCCATTGCAGGTCCCAGCTGCTTGGGGCCTGTGGTCAGAGCTAATGTAGGCGAGAGTTGAGAGTTGGAGGACAAGAGGGGATAAAGTTATTAGCGTCTTTATCTTTGAGGGATATCGATCGCCAGGTCTCCAGGCTCACTTCGTCTTATAACGGGGCTCATGAGGTTGTTGGGAGGGGCTCAGGAAAATCTTACTGAGCCCCCCCCCCCCCCCCATTATTTTGTAGTGGAAGCTGGGCTGCCTGGGACGTCTCAAAGGAAGACTCATAGAGATATAATTTGTAAGGCAAGGGCTTTGGGGAGGCAGAGGTGAGGCAGAAAGAGCTGAGAATCAGATCTTGAGGTCCTGGGCAAGGAGCAAACTGTGGGGTGGGCCAAACAGTTATTTAGGCCTCAAAAGCTTGGGGTGGATATGGGCTTGGTTTCAGTTCATTGTACTTCGTTTTAGGTGTGGGTGTTTGTGTGTGTGTGAGAGAGAGAGACTGAGAGAGCGAGCTAGCAATACAGCTAGAGAGATTCAAGATGGCAGACTGAGGTGGGCGGGAGAAGTCAGGAGATCTCTTTTCTTGAAGCTCCTGTGCACACAAGTGACCTGCAAACCTCCCATCCTCAGAGCGGCCTCCACTTTGATGTTCTGTGACATCTTACCTCCTTCTCTTCAGGAAGTCTTCTGTGTCATTTAAGCTGCATCTTCTTGGTGTGGTTATGTTTGCAGGTGTGACTTGGGTCCCAGTGTACGTCTGGTTTTGGATTTGAATGTGACAGT